TTTGGATGAATTAGAAGACCTCGTAGTTAGTAATGATAATACTAGTGAAGATGAGTTAGAAAGTTCAGTAATTGAAGTTGAAGAATCAATTCCAATAACTACCAGTTCAAATCCATCTACATCAAGAAATCGAAGAATTCCTCTTTGGCGGCACATTTCTGGAGACGGTACGGCTAGATCTATGCCTGAATGGTTAGGACAATAGATTCTTCTGAGGTAGTAAAACATCCTATTGAATAGTTCAGACATTTTTTTCTCGAAGGATATCATTACTCATATTGTCGACCAATCAAATCTTTATGCAATCCAGAAAAATCCCAATAAACCTCTTGCACTGAGTAGCCAGGAACTTGAGCAATTTTATGGTATACTGCTTGCTATGTCGATGGTGAAGCTCTCAAATCCATGTTTATACTGGAAGAGCAAACTAAACTCTCCTATTGTATCAGAAGTGATAAGTAGAGATAGATGGGAAGATATAAAGCCCAAGATTCACTTCAATGATAATTCACAAATTCCCTTACCTAATGAGAAAATGGATAAATTATTGAAGATCCAGTCTTTGATAGACCATTTACAAAAAAAGGTTCAGGAAATACCAATGCCCCAAATGCTATGCATGGATGAACAGATGGTTCCACTCAAAGGTAGATCAAGCATAAAACAATATATACCCATCAAACCACACAGTGGGAATACAAATTGTTTGTTCTTTGTGATGACAAAGGCATCATGTATGATTTTTCCATATATTCAGAGAAAATTGAACTGGTATTAGGAGAACCCAACTTGGGAGCTAGTTCAAATGTAGTACTGAAATTGGCCCAATCAATTCCTGTTGGATTGAACCATTTATTATATTTTGATAACTGGTTTATGTCACTTCCTTTGATGACAACTTTAGCAAAGAAAAAATATTGAGCTTGGGAACTGTTAGAATCAATTGTTTGCCTGGCATCCCACTAATCAAGGACAGATTTGATGAACAGAGGCAAAGGGTCCCATCAAGAAGTGACTGCTCTAGTTGAAGATACTGAAGTACGTGTAGTGAAATGGGCAGATAATAGAATTGTAAACCTTATGTCAACTTTTGCCTCAGCAGAACCAAAGGCCAACTGTAAGCGATATGACAAACGACCAAACAAACCATCACAGTCAATTGCCTCGCTATCGTGAAAACCTACAATCAGCTCATGGGAGGTGTCAATTTGATAGACTCACTGTACAGAATTCACAGCAGATCGAAAAAATATTATCACAAATTATGTTTTCATTTTATAGATGTGACTGTTGTGAACTCTCAGCTACTTTGTCGTAGAGACTGTGAGAGCCATCAGGTACACACACAAAAAAAAATCCAAAGTCTGCAAGAATTCAAAATGAGCGTCGCCAAAGCTCTTCTTCCTGAAGGAAAAAGTAACGGACCAACAAAAAGAGACAGACCTTCTACTAGCCTTACTGATGTTGAGTTTGCTAACATAAAGAGAAGAGGTCCCGCCACCGAAAGTATCCCTGGAAGAGATACCCGTTTGGATGGTCTTCACCATTACCCTGAGGTCACAAACAGAGGAAGATGCAAAAATATAAATTGCAAGAGTGCACCAATATTTTTCTGCAGCAAATGCAAAGTTCATCTTTGTATACAAAAGAAAAAAATTATTTGTTCAATTTCACACTAACTAAAATTATAAACAAGTAAATTTTGTACTATATTTTTTAAATAAAATAAGTTTTCACTTTGTTTTTTTATTTAATAATAAAATAAGATGAAAAATAATATGGAATGAAGAAATGAAGGTGCATTTTTTTATTCTTGTATTATAAATCCATGGATGAATGTGACAATTTGGTTACATTTTTAAAACATTGCAAATTTTATATTTTTAATATATTTTGGTTGTTATATATATTGATAACTATGAAAGTAAAGAATAAAAACAAAAAAATTTTCCTGAAATTAAAAATTCAGGCGTTATAGAGATAAACCAAGGGGTAGTTTTCACTTAACTATTTAAAATATCTCTTATAAGCATGTTTGTTATTTAAGAGCTATCATATGGTATCAAACTGACAACGTCAAGGTGCAAGATAAGACTCTCAGTATGTTCATGATACAAGGACAACTCAGAAAAGGAGAGTGAAAATAGTTGCAAAACATAAAGCATGCACTCAATGTCACTGATGTATTCATGTAGAAACTGTTGAATTAGTATTTCTTTTCTTGTGTATATTTTTAAGAGCAACAACACAATTTAGAAAATTTTAATCGAAAATCAAGAACTAATAGACATTGTGACAGGCTGACTGTTTCAGAGCATGGGAATTGCATGCAGGCAAAGACACACACACACACACACACACACACACACACCCCTGCTCACCCTAGCCTCCCCCTGCCACAGAAAGCAGGAATTTTTCTCGTTCTCCAAGAACAACAGCTTTCAGAACATAGTCACCATATAGAACATGGACTCTGGTAGTACCATGACAGCAGAGAGAATGGTATTACTTCACCAAGTACATTCTTAGGCAACAATGTAACAATTGGGAGCTGTTGGGAAAGAACTAAGAAGGGGCCATATGTCCAGTGGTTATAGCAAAGGATGGATGTGGTCTTGCTTGTGTCTTTTAGAGATTCAAGTGAGTTTACCTAGATTTTCTAGAGTGTCTGAAAAATACCTTGTGGGAGGTCAACTTTATTAATCCTGTGATGTGAAGGCTCAAACTACCGTAATTCAATCATTAACTATTAATGTAATCTGAGTAGTGAGTCCTAGCTGACAATATACAGTCTGGCATGTGTGAGAGTGTAGAGTCCTAATGCTAATGTCTGCAACTCACTTTTAAATGCATCAAAAAAATTAGGTGGCACGAAGGCTTAATTGATGGAGGAATAGATGAATGATTATACACAGGTGAAAATACAAACTCAACAAAGTGTTAACAATGACAGGATCCAGGTATGGGGCTTCACTAAACATAACTATAGATTCAACCTTTCAATATGATGGAAATCTATCATATCAAAATTTTCCAAAAATACAACCTTACTGCATAGTCAGAGAAGGGTGAAGTGTCTGGGTTGAACAGGATTTACTTGTTTTTCCTTTTTTCATTTGTCCCAGGAGGCTTAGCTCTCACTCCAGTCGCTTCTTGAAATGTCTCTTCGTTTTCCTTCTTCCCCTTGATGGAGCTAACGGTGTAGTTCTCGTCTATATTTTGTATCTCGGCATATTAATTCAAACATTGAGCATACCATAAATAATGACTGTGCAAAACGCGGGCATCACAAAGGAGGCTATTCTCAAATGTTTCAAAAGATAGAGATAGTTAGGACCACTTGAGTTGACTGAGAAATTTCCTCAGGGCTTCCTTCACTTCCTTGTTCCTCAGGCTGTAGATGAGGGGGTTCAGCATGGGGATCACTGTTGTGTAAAACACAGACACCACTCGGTCCTCCTCTGAGGACTGGCCGGAGTTATCTCTCAGATACATGAAGATCAAGGTGCCAAAGAAGAGTGACACTGCTGTGAGGTGAGAGGCACATGTAGAAAAGGTCTTGGCCCTACCACCTGTTGAAGGGATCTTCAAAATGGCAATAATGATGAACAAGTAGGACACCAAGATCACCACCATACAGGCAGGGATGACAAAAATGGCAAACACAATAATTACCACCTCCTGGGTATAGGTGTCCCCACAGGTCAGCTTTAAGAGAGGTGGAAGGTCACAGAAAACAAAATCAATCTCATTGGTCCCACAGAAGGATAGTGTGAACGCTGAGACTGTCCGCACCAAGGCACTGAAGAAGCCAGCCACGAAAGCCCCAGCCACAAAACACAGACAAGCTTTCTTTGTGATGATGGTGACATACAGCAAGGGCTGGCACACAGCCACATAGCGGTCATAGGCCATGAGGGCCAGGAGGTAGCAGTCAATGGAGCCAAAGAAGGTAAACAGGAAGAATTGAGCAGCACAGCGCGTGTAGGATAAAACTGCCCCGTGCTTAAACAGCACAGCCAACATCTGAGGAACAGTGACAGAGGAGTAGCAGATGTCTGTGATGGAGAGGTGACTCAAAAGGAAATACATTGGAGTGTGGAGCCGGCGATCCATGTGGATCAGGATAATCATCCCCAAGTTCCCCAACAAGGTGATGAGATAGATAAGTAGAAACAGGAGGAAGAGAGGAAGCCCCCATTCAGGACATTCTGTGAATGCTATCAGGAGAAATTCAGTCACTAAAGTCAGGTTCTTCTCTGCCATGAAGCCGATGGTGCAAGAGAGGGCTAGGATGAGAAGCAAATGAGAAAGTTAGAAATAGAAGTTAGCTGTATTTCTAGTGCACCCTTATTGAGCACGTACTACACACAAAATGTCAGAAACTGTGTGTGTCTTCTTGGACGACTGACCATAGTTCTATATTCAAGAAAGGCCGAAGAAGGCAGAAGACTCTAGGAATCATGATCTCTAGAGTCACCATAGTTCATGAGGGTTCTTCAAAAGGTTTGTAGAAACAGGAACTTACAAGATCATGGGATTGTTTTCCCCATGAACATTTTGCAGATCCTCTTATGTCAAGGAAACCTGTACAATTAAATATGATCAGAACAAAAGCTTAGTCTCCCATCTTAGTACTAACCAGTTCCTGGAAGTCAGAGGATTGTTTTGAGCTAAACTTTTCATGTGGCTTCAACAGGAGATGATTCATGAGCCTGAGTTGGCTTCCATGCATGGCGATCCGACAAGTGAAGGAGGAAAACTGCTGCATCCAATGGTCTTGGCTGTAACCTTGATGGAAGGCATTCTCAGGGCCACAGGTTGGTCTTGAGCCACTCACCTGTAGGTTAGCAGCCAAACACAAACCCCGTTTGCCTCCCAGAGACGTTTCCCAGACCACAGCTCTTCCTTTACTTCAAAACCCTCTTCATTTCTTGCTTCCGTTAAAACAACAGCCGTGCAGCAAATCACTCTTTGTTTTTAGACTTGCTTTTTCATCAATTCTTGCTTCTCCCTGTGGTCATGGTGATATCTCTAAGACTTTAATTCAATTATGTCTCACGTCCCTGTTGAAAAAACACAGCATGGCACTTTTTCTGACACAAGTTGGTTTCTTACTATTAAGGATTAGGTAAGGGGTTTTCCTTAATATGTCGGAAAATATCCCCCCATCCCCGTGAGGTCTCACCTGATTCACTCTCCTCAAACTCCTTTCTAACCTCTCAATTCTTACACTCCCAGTCACACTCCAACCCCCTCCCCTTCTCTCCAAACCAACATCTCCTACCGGTAGCTGTGGAGTTTATTCCAATGCTCGGCGACATCATGTGTGCTGGAGGCGCGCTGTGCGCAATGGGGTTTCAATGGCTGATTTTTTTTTTAAGCAGATTACCACGGCTTTCTTCTAAGGCACCTCCACATCACCTTGAACCATCAACCTTCCCATTAAAATCCAAGGGCATTCAATGTTTTTGACACCCAGGAGACCCCGCTTCTTTTCAGCCACATTGAATTATCCACAGCTTCTCTAATTTCCCTAAGTTCTCTCATATCTCTGTGCTTTCCCTGGGCCACCCCTGCTGCCTGGAATGCGTTATCTTGCCCATCCATGCCCAGGGTCCTGCCTAACTCCCATGCCACCTTTAAGCCTTCACTCAGAAAGCACTTCCTCCAAGAAGCCTCTCCTGAACCTGCTTTCTCCTGCAGGGCCCAGGGCCCATGGATCAGAGGCTGTGGACTTAGTATATCTAAAGGGTTCAGTATGTTTTTATAGAATAAATAATGTGATCGAATGAGATGCGAACCACCTCAGAAAGAGAATGGAACTGTGCAAATGTTTAAGTGTCTCATTTCATTTTTATGAGAGAGTTTACAAACAGAACATTTTAAGAACTAAAATCTAAGCAGTCACAGAAATCAATGAACATTTTGCAAAGTTATAAAACCTTTCTTGGATTTGCACTTTTATTCTCAACTTAACCACGTGCTTCCTTAACAGAAAGCTGTTGTCTTAAGGAGAGAAGCTGACTTTAACAAAAATAACTTTTTTAAGAGGCAGCATTGTACTTAAATGATGATAATAACAACAACACATCGCTGTGACTAGTTCCCCTGAAGTCAAATGCAACTCATAACGACCATATGTGTCTCAGTGTATTGGAGGAAGCAATAAGAGAAATTGGATCTAGTGACCAAGAACTGGTCATGCTCAAAGAGCACTAGATCCATTTCCTCACCTGAATTAACTTCGTCTTTACCTGGCCAATCGTCTTCTCACGTTGTCCACAGTGTTCCTTTCTCTCTAAAAGGCTGTTTCTCTTTCACTGCCTAGAAAAGCATCAAGGTCATAGAGAAGGCCCTGGACTAGGAAGCAGGTGGTTCCTGTTGCCTTCTCATAGGATGATGAAATTCCGATGCTGAGCAAGCCATTTAACCTTCTTGGACCTTGGTGCCCTTCTCCTTTCTCCTACACCCACGCTTCACATACACAAAAAAGCATACCAATGTGGAATCAATAATGCCTTAGTGGCCTGCATGTCAGTCCCTGGATACTATCATGCTCACGGTCCTTGCTGGTTTCATGAAGGCTTCGCTGCTTCTGTTCTATCTCCATGATCTCCTGAAGATGGTTCCGTTCAGTCCCAGTCTCATATAGCAAATGTTGGAGAACAGCCTCTTCTGATGGGCTCCCGTGTCTATCATAAATCTCTTTTGAAGAGACAAATAGTTACCACGAGTACTCCTAGGGCTCCAATCAATCACTAAAACGGGTCTCTAGGGAAAGGCAATTACTGCTCACGTGGGATCCTAAGAAGACAGCTGGTGCCTGTGGTTCAGGAAAGGAGATGACTTCCTCCCAGTCCCATTTCCCAAAGCCCCACCCCATACTAAACTTGCATCTTAAAGTCCTGAATCCCCATTCTGCAAGCTCCCTCAAGGAGGTGGAGTCTCTGGCTTTAATTTCCCCAGTCGGGATGATATCAGATAGTGTGCCCATTTCCACACTAACCAGCATGATCACATCCTGTAAGAAAAACACTTTGTAAGTACAAAGCTTAGATCGATATTATCCAGAAGGGGTATGTTGGGCATAGCAACCTCAATAAGACATATTGCATCTTCCAAGTGTGTCCTTGGGTGTCAGGTGTTTCGTTTAGTGTTGCCCTTACAAACAAACCATAGAGAGAACAAAAGCTTGAGTTGTTGCTCAGAGGACCAATAGACAAGTTCTTGTCAGCACAGCCTTTGCGGCCCTCTGTATCTTTGACACTGTCACATATTTAAGATCCCAAAGCATAAGCAGTTGGGTAAGTTATGGCAATTCACCAGGTCTCGGTTTATAAAAGGAAACAGGAACTATGGGAAAGAGCAGAATAATTATTATCTTTGTTAATTATGAGAACCGAGAGAAAATGAGAGAACGTCATTCATTCATTAATCACTGGCTTAACATTCTAAAGAAAGGAAAAAAATTTAAATAATGCAAAGTACCCTAAAAAAGAAAGCACAGTGCCTGTTATTGGGTTTATACAATATAGTAGGCAAGGAAATTAACCATCAATTAACCATCCTGGAAGATCCACCACCATCAGTCATTGCTGGCGAGTCCATTCAGAACAGAACACTGCTCCTCCTGCAAGAGATATGTTAAACCCTCAAACCAGGTGTAGACAAGGTGCCATGTAGATTCATAGTAGACATGATAACTTATAGGTAGAGTAGAATAAGGGTGGCTTCCCAGATGAGCTGCCTTTGAGAGTCCATTTGGGCAGAAATGTGGTTAGGAAATCATGGGCAAAACTCTTCAAAAAGAGGGACCAGCGTGAACAAGTACATAGAGGAAGAGAGTTCAAGGACTATCCTGGGACATGGAAGGGGACTTTGGTGGCAGCACAGGATGATCCTAGGCAAAACCATGGTGAGGGTACAGGGAGTGAGGCATGAGCCTCAGCTATGAAAATTAAAGTCAAGTCATTAACCTCAGTAAACAAGATAACTAATATTTTCATGTGAGATGTTAACACAGTCCATGTTGCTTTATATACTTCTTTTCCCTAATTTTAAAAGTAAAGCAAAAAAATAAATACAGTGAAAATAAAACAGTGCCATTAAACAGCTAGTCTTCTGCATATTCTCCAAGGCTGAAAAATGGAGGTTAGCAAATATTAGAAAAGCTTTATCAGTTAGAACCAGAAAAACGTTCTTCCAAATACTTGAAAGATTGAATGAAAATGAAGGGGAAAAAATCTGAAAAAAAATTCAAAATAATCTATCAATGGGAAAAATTTTATGGTGAAGAAATTATCAAAATTTTAAATATGGATAGCACCAGTATTACTGAGTTTGCCATATGCCTCAGGCTGAAATCTAGCTCACACAGTTCTAAAACTTGGAATTGTGCTTCAAAAAGGGAGGGGAGAACAAGGGGCTCCCAAGGGGAAGACTTAACAAGTGCCTTTTCCTCATCTAAGACTATTCTATTTCCTTCCTCTCTATCATCTGCTTCAGAAAAGAGAATCCAGTTTAATGCTTAAAACTGTATATTCAACATTCAGAGGTCTTTCTCCTTCAACTAACCTCAGAAGAGCCCTGTAGGATGGCTAGAGAGAATGGGATTCTTCTTTTGTACAAATGAAGAGAGAGGAGCAGAGAGGCCCTCAAGCCCATACTTACCTGGTGATAGATTAGAAACTTCGTGTGTCCTGCCCACACTGCGTAGTAATGGACCTTACCCAGGCCACAGTCCCTAGTGGTCAAGAGATCACGTTTTGGACTCTGATTCTATATATAAACAATTGTATGTTAAAGTTCTTTGAATGAAGAGGTAAATGCACTGTATGAACAGATTGCCTTAAAAATCATAGTGGTTATGCTTAAACATTTGTTCCTTGCTCATGAAAAGTCGTGTGTGTGTGTGTGTGTGTGTGTGTGTGTGTGTGTGTGTGTGTGTGTGAAATAGTTCTCCTCCATCTCATAACTGTGTTTGGAACTAAAATGACTCTCATGTTCACCAGTACCAGGGAAGAGCAAGAGAAAGATTATGCAGGATTCTGTTAACTGGAGAACCCAGTAGTGCGCCTCATTCACACCCCCATCTCAGTGACCAGGATTTACTCACATGGCCACAATGCAACTATCAAACAGACTAGGAAATGTCTAAAAGCATGAAGTATTTGTGAAATCAAATGTGTAGGCGAAGATCTCTGCCACAACCCCAATCTTTTTTACTAAATAAAGTCTAGAGCCTTCTCCAATATTCTGAGGCT